AGCCAAGTGTCCCTGCATAAGCCCCAGGTTTCAAACAGCCAACTCATGCAATGAACACAGGACCTGGTCCCACTGCCTAGATGCCTCCCAAACTGATCAAGCCAATCAACTGTCTCACCCATTCAGAGGGCCTGATCCAGTTGGGGGGGGGGGCCCTCAGCCTTTGGTTCATAGTTCATGTCTTTCCATTCGTTTGGCTATTTGTCCCTGCGCTTTATCCAAACTTGGTCTCAACCTGCTTTCTTATACAACCCAGGACCACCAGCCAGGGATGGCACCACTCACAATGGTTTGGGTCCTCCCCAAAATGTCCTACCGGCTTGCATACAGCCGGATCTTATGGAGGTGTTTTCTCAATTGAGGTTCCTCCTCTCAGATGACTCTGCCTTTGTCAAGTTGACATAACAAGGATTGTCAAAACAAAATAACAGTTTTCTTTCATTTACTTTGTAATATTTTCTAGTGTGACAATCTAAAGAAACATTAGTTTTGAATTTTTTATTTGTATCACGTTTTCAGGAAGCATAAATTGTTTCCACAAGTATTCCCATTGATAATTTGCATAGTATAGTTTGCACCTTGTCTTAAGCCATTTTGACTTTTTGTAACAGGATACAATAGAGTGGGTAATTTATAAAGAACATAACTTTGTTTTCATACTGTTATACAGGCTTGGATCTCCATGGTTAAGGTGCTGGCATCTGGTAAGCATTTTCTTTTTGTTTTAAAGATTTATTCATTCTTACTTATGTAATGTATGTATGTATACCACTTGCATACCTGGTACCCACAGAGGCCAGAAGAGGGCATCAGCTCTCCTGAAGCTTGAGTGTCAGATGTATATATAGTAAGGTACCATGTGGGTGCTGGGAACCTAACCTGGGTCTTCTGCAAGAGCAGCCAGTGCTCCTAGTGACTCATCTCTCCAGTCCCATGGTAAGGGCCTTGCTGCATTCTAACATGGAAGAAATCAGAGCTAGAAAGCAAAAATGGTTGGAATTTCCTTCTTTGAAATGGCAGAGCCCTCGTGGCCCAATTACCTCTCTGAATTGCCACAATACTAATAAAATTCTGGCATGAGTTTTGGAGGGGGAAAATTGTTCAAATCATAGCATATTTTCTGTGTAAATATTGTATAATATTCTATGCATATTCACAAAGAACATTTCATTCATTCCATTTTAATGAATTTGAGTAAGAACTGCAAACTGGCAAGCAGCTGCACTTGGCACTTTCAGTTTTTCCATCTACTTATTCAGTTATCTTATCATTCAGACAATTGAAAACTGCTGAATTATTATCCATTCAGCTAAAAACCTGCCAAAGGTCAACCACAATGATCCTGATTTCAGCAAATCAAATGATGCAAAAAGTTTAAAAATGGTTTTAGAGCTCAGCAAAAATTTGGCCAAAGAAATTTTTCATGCGGGAAACATGATCTAATCATCTATTTTTTCCTTACCCTTTGAGAAAATGGAATTGTCCAGTAAGTTATATTATATAATTCCAACAAAATCTTCTGTATCTAATTAGTTGTAAAAATAACCATCAGAAGGCAATCATGTGTAGCAAAAGCCTTTCATCTTTGTAAATTTAAAGAATAATTTCATTTATTATGTAAACTTAAGCAATATAATCATCCAAGCTTCTTACCTTCTTTTGCAATAATTCTTAAGTGGAAATATATGTTGTGTGACTCCT